AGGGTTCAGTGTGAAATCTTCATATATGTATAAAATGTGCATGATTAACTCAAGGTAACTAACATTTCCATGACCTTGCTTACCTAACAATATTTCATAGTGAGACATTTAAAATCTACTCATTCTATAATATGTAATGTATTATTTTTGCCTATGAGCACCCTGTTATGCATCTCTTACTTTTTTGTAAATTCTTCCTTACACTCAGCTAAATTCAGCTTCCTATAGATTTCAATATCTCCATCCTTACTCTTACCTTTAAAAATCATAAGAAAAATTAAACCTGAGCACACTTCACAACATCTTTCTATCATTTAAAGATAGCACAATGCCCTGGGAATACTTTTAACCAAAACCTCAGAATAATTTAGTGAATTGTGACCAAGAAACTAGTTCTCAATGGAAAAGCCATGATTAAAACAAAATTCCTTTGGTTCTGAGCATGAAAATCTTTCCCAGTTCTACTAAATACACGTAACCACAGGAATAAATATGAAGAAATGGAAGCACGAAAGCAGCTGTCCCTGGTCTCTTCAGATGGCTCTCCATTGGGTAGAGGGGAGACTGAGGAATTCATTTATTTTAATTGCTACATAGATTCATGGAATCAACATACCACTGTTTAATCGTTATATCTGAAGAACAAACTATTGTGTTATTTCAAATGTTGTTCTACTTCAAACACTATGGTAGTGAAGATTTTTATGCATGGCTCTGTGCTATGGGCAAGAGTTTTTCTAGATGGTTTATCACAGTCAAATCTGAGTCAGAAAATACAAGTATCTTCAACAACAAAACACTGGAATATCTCTCATCCCTGTCATTTAAAAAACAATAAAAACAAAAACTTTAAATGTTTGCTAATTTAAAGGGTATGAAATTGTACCTTATTGACATCAATTTGCACTTTTTCGATCAAGAGAGAGGTTGAGGATTTTTTCACTTGTTTTTTAGTCCAATTTTCTTCTAGAATTATCTAAGTATGTATTTTCCTTTTATTGTGATATTCATACTTTTCAAAAGATTTTATAATTAATTTATTTTGTACATATTAATCTACTTATTTTTACATGGCAAATACCTCCTAATCTCTAGCATGGTTTTCATTTTATTTATTTCATTTATATATGAGTGTGTGTGTGTGTGTGCATGCGGCACGTGCCTGCGTGAAAAAAAGAGAGAGCATTCATGCACATGTGTGTATCCACATGCATTTAATATTAATCTTTTCCTTTCAAGTCTTCTCAAAAACTAAATCTCCATACCTGCACACCCAAGTTTATTGTAGCATTATTTCCAAGATTTAAGATATGGAATCAGCCTAGGTTCCCATCAATAGATGAATGCATAAAGAAAATGTGGTATGTATACACAATGGAATATTATCGAGCCATAAAGAAGGATGAAATCCTATCACTTGTAGCAACATGCATAGAACTGAAGGAAATTGTGCCAAATGAATTAAGCCCAAGGGGAGATAGCTCAGTTGGTAGAGTGCTTGCCTTACATGCACAAGGCCCTGGGTTCAAGCCCAGTACCACCAAAAAGAAAGAAAGAAGCCCAACACAGAAAGGCAAGTACTACATGTTCTTCATATGTAGAAGCCAAAAAAGTAAATAAATAAAAAATAAAAAGCAACCCTACCTAAAAGTGGAATAGTGACTAATAGAGATTGAGAAGGGCATATGCAGGAAGGTTGGATTTGATCAATGAGTGCTATATGTTGTACAGAAATACCACACTGGATCCCATTAGTATATACAATTGATGAATGTTAACAAAAAAATTAAAAACTAAAACAAAAAAATGAGTCTCTTAAGTTGTGGACCTAGAAATAATCTTCTCTGTGCCTTCTGAAAGTTTGATATCTTGCTATTTCACATTGAGGCTTTGAATCAATTTGGCATATTATTATCATATCCTTTCAGATAATCTGTTTGAATAACATTTATTGAACAACTCTGGTTTCCCTAGCAATTTTTCCATTGTCATACACCAACTTTTCAGTTTCTGTTGGTTCTCTTTGTTCTGCTGTTCCATCATATGTTCCTTTCAGTAATACCTTTGTCTTCATTTTTAGATTTATAGTAATTGCATAATTTATAGCCCAAGTCTCCAAAGTTTTTTTTAAGAATACTCTTTACTTTTTCCATGAGTGTAACTATTCAAATGCTACAAGAGGCCCTGTTTGGATGTTTTTAGAATTGTATCAGGAAGTAATTAGAATTAGTCTGAGTAAAATAGGAATTTATATAGTATAGTTTATTCCATATATGAATATGTAGATCTTCAGTATCATTTAGATTTTTTTATCTTCTTTACAAATGTTTTGTGATTTTATCCATTGAGGCCATGCTAATTTCTTCTATGACATTTTCTACATGATTATTATTGGCATTCTGAATGTTACTAATTTTACATTTTTTCTCTAATTGCGGTGAGATACACATAATGTAAAATTTGCCATCTTAATCATTTTAAGTATATAGTTCAATAGTGCTAAGTACATTCACATTGTCATACATCAGCTCTCCAGAACTTTTTTAATCCAGCAAAACTGTATCTCTATACTCATTAAACAAGCCCCTATCTTCTCTACTCCCTGGCAACTGCCATTCTACTTTCTACATCTAATGAATTTGACTACTCTACTCATATAAGTAGAATTATACAGAATTTGTGTTTGGCTATTGTGACTGGCTATTTAACTTAGCTTATGCTTTATAGTTCACAAAGTTCTACCAAAGTTCTACTGAAGCATGTGTCAGAATTTCCTTTTTTAATGCTAAATAATATTCCACTGTATGTGTATATGTATTTGTGTATGTATATATATGAGAAATTATATATGTAATATATATGAGATATTATATATATATAATATATACAATTTATTCATTCATTCATTGGTAGATGGACACTGAGGTTGCTTCCACCTTTTGGCTATTGTGAATAATGCTGCCGTGACAATGAATATGACAGTCAAGTTAACTGGATTAAGAAATATATAGAGAACTGGTAAAGCATTATTTCTGGATATATGAGAGTATTTCCAGAGTATATTGGCATGTCAGTTGGTGAAACTAGTTGGGAAGATCTGCTCTCAATATAAGCAGCTACCATCTAATTAGCTAGGAACCAGGATAGTTTAAAAAGCAGAGGAAAGTG